TCTCCAGTAAAACAAGGAATACTTTGAATAAGATGTGCTCCCTCTGTGGTTTCCTTCTGCACTGCCTCTCGGATCTGGGCAGCCCATATATGTTATGGCGATCAGAACTGTATGCAGTAGCTCAACTGTAGTCTGACATTGTAGATTTTTCATATCACTGTTGAGGTCAACTGATCTCAGCTGAATTGGCAATACAGTAAAACTCGCTTAAGTCTTATCTTTATAAATTCTTTCAAGAACTGCAGATATTTGCTTGTTCGAGTTGAAAGACTCCTTCCTACCTTCTATGGAGCTTTGATGTTTTTGTTCTGTCCTCACTTAAATCTAAACTCTTGCTACTTTCAACTCCAGCTTTAAGATAACACAAATTGAAATTGCAATTTTGCTTTGCATTGACCTCTTCACAGATGTATATTGCATTCACAGTTAGCTTCAGCCTGAAATTCCCTCTCATATTCTGACTGAAGCTCTTTGAACACAACCCGGTATTTTTTTTTCATCCTGATTTAAAAAGAAAAGCTACAGGAAGTTGCCCCACTTATCACCAATGTTGAAGGATTGCTCAAAATCACAATTTACTGAAATAAAAGTGATAAATTGCTGCATATGAATATATTTCTTAATTATCCAACCACGAAAGATAGAGGAGCTCTGCAAATAGAAATATTGTCTTTGGGAAACATTTTATTTATTCCTTGAAATCAGAGCTGTCATTTTACTGTCAGTCTTCACTTCTCTGATTTTAGTGATCTGGTTATGGTCAGAGACTGGGTTGAATCTCACTGTGTTATGTGCTGGGGATGGAACATCATCTGATGAAATGTGTCCCTCAGGAGCAGAATGCTTTGGGTATTAAAATTGAATGTGCGATTTCAGGATTTTTAATGCTAGGTTTTAATGAGGCCCATGTTTGCCACCTGCATTTTGAGAATGTCAAGGACGAGAAAAGGCAGTTCAACGATGCTTCAGTGCATAATGTATTTTAAATTAGGTACTTAAGCTGCTGTAGTAAGTATGGTGCCAGGGAGCTCACAAATAAGCAAGCGGTCCATGTCTCAAAGGGGAGGGAATGAGTGCAGGGAAAATGTACGATAAAAGAGGATATCAATGTTATCTGTCTACTGTTTTTTAAAAAAATGGTTTGGGATGTAAATTCATTCAAGCAAAACTTAGCTTTGCATCCAAGTGCAGAAAAGATCATGCTGTAAAGGACATGAGAGTACCATATGTGAAGTTGCAGCCCAATAGCAAAAATGTTTCATAATAGCTTTCTTATATTCCAACGTATCACAAGATTTGTTTTGTTCAGTCTTCAACTCATTTGACCTCATCCTTCCAGAACACTCACCTACATTTTTCCAATCACAACATCAAGCTATTTTTTAAACAAGGCCAGTGTCTTGGCCTCAACCACTCTTCCTGGTAACCTATTCCAGTTGTTAATTACCCTTGTAAATAAATAAATATTTCCTAGTGTCTGTCCTAAAATTGCACTTTACAATTCTAACCCTGTATCCTCTTGTTCTACTGTCTCAGTGCATCCAAAAGTATTGTTGTGAGTTTAGTTTTTCAATCCAATTTAAAATGTTATACAATATATCACTACAAAGTCTCTTCTGAGATATGTCTTATTTTAAGATTAAAGAGGCCCAGGTTGTCTAATCGTCATTTATAGCTTATTCCTCTGACATTCTAACTCCTCTGCATTACCTCTATGGCCTAGGCAGCCTCTTATGTGGTGGCAAACAGAAATATATGCAATATTCTAGGGTGATCTAACCAGAGCACTAAATAGTGTGAGTATGACTTCTGGGGATCTGAATTAAACTGATTTAGCCTAGCCCAGGATCCTATTTGAAATGTGCAATATAAATGGCAATTGTTGTTGTTTACCTTGTCTATTACTGCCTCATACTGTCTTGACAAGGGTAGTGATGAGTCAGTAACACCCCTGGATCTCTTTCAGTGTTCCCCTTAGCAAGTTTTATTGCATCCATGGAGTACAACAATTACCTATTCTTACGTCCTATATGTAGTATCTATATTGAACTTCATTTTCCTACCATCAGCTTGTGTGTATATTTTATCATGTTTTTGTTGTAAGACCTTTGGTGCCTCCTCTGATTTCCCCCAACTTGAATATAATATTCTGGGACACAACTCAATAACTTGAAAAATGCTCTCAGGTTGAGTATTTTCTAAAAGTATTTTCTGAACGGTTTTAGGATGCCAATGATGCCAGTGTTGTTACCACCTGATGAGAAAAGAATTGTACTGAAATAGTCAAGTTGCTGTTTGTGTTGTACAGCGATGATGCTTAATGGATGTTGAGGCTCAAAACTGATCTTTCGGATTTGATCTCCTGAGAGTTTGGAGACAACTGCTGGCATATTGGCATCCGGCCAGAGAAAGAAACTCTTTCAGCTTTCTTAGAATGCTTTGCAGCAAAGTAAATCCGAATCTTGAAAGAAGATTGGACATTTTCCAAGAGATATATTCAATATATTGCTAGGGAGAGATGGAGGTACAGTGTATTGCTAGAAAGAAAACAAACTATTTATGTTTTAGCTTGATATAGATGAGCTACATAAAAAGGTAGAAAGATAGAGGAAGCAATTAATAAAGTACCCGATTTTTGTGCACATTTGTTGAACTCCTGAAGGTGAAAGTAATCCTTACACAAAACAACTTTCAGAATTTTTTTTGTCCTTTCAATGTGGCACTAAAGGAAACCAATCAAAATTCAATTTATTTTCTTGCCTCAATGATGGTAGATTGCTGTAAAGTGGGGGAGGATGAAAATGCATATGGTGATGATCCTGTCCTTAACAATATACATGGAAAAAATTATTGTTTTGAGAGTCTGGTTTGTGACCCCTGCACTCAGGACAAACACATAGATTTAAACACAATGTGAATGGGACACTTTCATTCAGTTCATCCACATGCGTGAAAGTTCCAATCAAATGTCAAGGTCTTCAGTATAAATATCATAAACAACAGCAACAACTTGCATTTATATAGCGCCCTTCATGCCGGACGGCATCTCGGAGCACTTAAACCTTCCTTCTATTTGTTCTCATTTTCTCTGTTCCCTGCTAGTTTTCTCTCTTGTTCTCTGTTCATTCTCACTTCTGTCTGTCCCCCGTCAAAACTCCATTCTTTGATCTTTCTCCCTCACTGGCCTTTCTTCTAGTTTCCTCTTGCTCAGTTGTGTTCTTATGGCAACAGTGTAGACTGATGACACTTTCATTAGAGTTCTATTGTGCTGTTATAATACTTGATTGTGCTCAGCTACAGAAGGGTATTGTTAAGTATTTATGAAACTCTCGGAGAGTCCTACTCTGTACTAACTAGCTGTAGATGAATAGTGGAGCCCTTACACAGTTGGGTTTGTGTTTCTTATTCCAACAACAATGTTGGTGGGCATTCTTTCTAACATTTAAAGCAGGGTGCCTTCCTCCTAAGAACCACACACAGCATAATTCGATGATAAAGGTTAAAAGTTGCTGATCCTGAGGCAGATTTGGTGCCTAAAAATAGTAATAGGTTAATCATTAATTCCCTCAAATTCTACAGACCTCAAAGTCTTGTTTTTTCTTACCTGGGTGTGCTCTGTCGTGGGATCTTGCTGATCTTGGTGGCCTTTGCTGACATACTATTTCAGTCAATGTAAAATGAAATGGATATTAAATCAGAATATAGTAGATCAAGCACTCCATTCCTATGCAGAGACATCTTTGCACATGGAATCCAGGATTGGCTGATGTATGATTCAGTTCGATTACTGTGGCTTGATTGATGGACGAATTAAAAATATTTTGAAACCATTGCACAAATTTGCTGTTTTCTCTCAAAGGCATTTCCAAACCTCTCCGCCGTTTTGTATGTCTGACGATATACTTGATCATGTTCATCTGCTCGTGGGTCTTTTTTACTCAACCTTTTCTGTGATGATTAAGTGTGGTAGCACTTATAGTACTGATGTCAAACAGAAACAACGCAATTTGCTCGCCAAAGAGAAGATATAACACCATTTATAATACTTCATCAATTTTAGACATCCCAATTTGTTTGAAGAATATTATTAATTTCTGAAGCTTCCATTGTGTTGAGCTCTTTACTCAAACTCCAGTTAATATTTCGTGATATGGAATGCTCTTGGATATTTTTAATTATCTTGAGGTGTTTTTCAAACCCTTCAGTTCCTACGCTCCTAACCAGTGGAACTCCCTCCATCTAACCCTCCATCTTTTTCAGTCTTAAAATCTCACCTTAGAATCATAGATTCATTGAATATTACAGCACAGAAGGAGGCAATTTGGCCCATCGTGCCTGTGCCAGTTCTTTGGAAGAGCTACCCAATCAGTCCCACTCTCCTGCTCTTTCCCCATATGTTTGCAAATTTTTCCTTTTCAAGTAACCATCTATGCCTTAAATCAAATACCTTAAATCCTACTTCTTCATACATACCTATGGCCACCTTCCCCCTTCCCCTTCGGCTTGGTGTCCAACCGTGTCCATGTAAAGTGCTCCAAGATGTTACGCTACGTGAAGAACGTTACAAAAAACAAGTTGTGTTGTTGTTTGTCATTGAAGACCTACATATAGTAAACTCCTAATAGCTCCAAGGGACAAGGGCTCAGTGATGAGTTATCCGGAATGGAAAATTAGGCACATGTATGAATACATAAATAAATGCGGCTGGGATATTGACAGCATGATGATTTCAGTGGAACTGACAAGTTAAGCCAGGGTCGAGTTATCAGGAGTTTACTGTGAATAATTTATGATAGAATTACAAAGCTGTTGTACTATCTGAAAGCATAAGATCTTTCCTCTGTATCTATTGACTGAAAGTTATTATTAATTATTTTTCATGGTCCACAAGATGCAAGCAGTTAAAGTTAAAAGATGAATTTATTTATTAATTAACATGTTGATGCTGATAATTGTGTTAATATTTAGTGAGGGGAAATCACTCTTTTTTGTTTTCACAGAGAGACACGAAGGGTCAGTTCCTCATTGATCATGTCTGTAACCATTTCAGCTTGTTGGAGAAGGATTACTTTGGCATCAGATATGTTGACCCAGTGAAACAACGGGTATGTATCTAAGGAAATAAAAATATCCTGCAAGTCCATTCGAAAGTGAACACCTCCAATTCTTTTTAATGTAATTTGTATCTTCCAATCTTTTCTCTCTTATTGACTTTCTCTACATGATAGAACGTGTTTCACAAGTTTTAGTAAGTCTCTGGTGCTCACCCAAAGGATCATTGATCATGTGTTTGTCAAGGCAATGAGAGACAATGAAGGGCTGGAGCTGAGTTCTTGTGGGTTGAAGTGACGCACATAGGCTTTCCAATAGGGAACGTATTTCATGTCCTGAGGTACTCTTTCAGATATAAGGCATCATTTACACCAATGTTTTCCGTACAAGAACTTTCAATCCCCTTTGAGTCCAATTGTGATATTCTTGCTGCTGTTCCAATTGAGATTTACTAACTCAGCACAGATCAGGGCAACAAGCCTGGGACCTTCATTATTGGCTCAGCTCAGCCACACTGCCCACAGAGCCAGCAAAACAGAGATCTGAAAAACAAATCTCCCAACTTCAAATTCTGTTTTCTTGGGTGCTTTCTCTCCCTGTAGTGTAACATAAATATTGGGATCGGTGCCAGTGAGATAATGCTTTTATCTGGTTTAGGAGCTAGAGAGTAAAAAACAATTCACAAATGTAGTATTTGTTATTGCTTTACTGATTGTCTGGTTATTCAATTAATCTGGCTTCTCGGTGAAAGGCCTGTGACAGACAAGCATTTAATCCACATTTCCTCACAATGTATTGCCTTCAGGTAATACATGTCCCTTTCTTTAGAATGGTTTAATATGAATGCACAGAATTCTAAGAAACCAAAGGAAATTTTCAACATCTTGCTGGTGCTCTGATAAACAAAGGTTAGTATAGGCTGAGTGTTTAGTCACACGGTAAACGTGTTGTGTGACAATTAGCTCTGTGACACCATTTGTTATAAATAGCTAACATTCATTCCAGTTCTTCACTGGTGTTTTCACACTGGCGTAGTCTCATTACATAAAAAACTGAAGCTGTTTTATTTGCCTGAAGGAATACCTGAGGCTCAGAATATTGCAGCGCACAGTTTTGAGAGCTAAAAGACAAAAACAAGAACAAATTTACATTTATATAGTGCCTTTCACGTCTGGAGGATGTGCCAAGGTGCTGGACAGTCTAAGGTTTGCCCCCAAGCTGGGGGTGGGGGCTGAAGTGGTGGGGGCCGAAGGAATGGGGGCGAGAGGGCAGAAAGTACAGTCAAAGAGAAAGGTCTTGAGGTGGATCTGGAAGGAGGCATGTGGTGTGAAGGTACTGATGGGAGTCAAGCAGGAGAGCCTCTGTTTTGAGCATCAGAACCCACCATGAGTCACTATGTTCGACAGAGAGGAGAAACCAAACACAAAGATAGGGGTCAAAATTGTGGTATTTCAAAAGCATTCTGCTCCTTATTTAGGGAAGGGTGTTAAACTGTGTCTTAAAATCCCATTTCTCCCCCACTAACCCCAGCCATTTGAATGATTGTATTGCTTGAATCCAACTAAAAAAGGTGTGTGATTACTGTTTAGCAGGGATCATTAGCTGAATAAATAATAGCTGATGCACATCTTTACCTGTATCAACATCTGTTCATAAGTCAAGTTACAATATTGTAAATGAACTGGTATTAATGAATTGTCGGCATTCCCCAGATTGATGGATACATCGAGTGAATAGGGTGGACTGATTCTCTTCTTACTATAGATATTTACTTGTGGGATTAACACGCAAAGGTAGATTGGTACAAATTTATTTTTCTGTTCTTTGCAACTTATGGAGACCAGAACTTTGAAATAGTTGGGTACTTATTTTCACTGACGATTCCAAAGAACACTCCTTCCAATTTTATTTAGAGGCTCCAAATACAATTGGTGATTGTAGGGAATAAATCGCCTGGGAAGGAGATTGAACCAGAATTTCAATGTAAGCAGTAGCAAGTGATGGTATTCCACTCTCAAGGCTTCAGACTTCACATTGAAGAGTCTTACAACTCTGAGACTCTGATAAATTGAAGTTTTGTGTCTCTATTCAGATATATTCAACTGGAAATATTCATATTCTGTTAAAGTGCACCAAGCATTCATATCTATAATTGTGTCTTTAAAATTTCAATTACACTTTTCTAGTTATCAGCAGTTTTAGCAAATGGTTGTTTTTGGAAAAACACATTATTTATATGATATTCAGATTTTTTCCATTTCATTGTTTAACCTGTCCTACACACAGCTTGCTTAGTGTTATCAAACCAAATTCATGGGAACTTATTGAATCCAGATGCTGACGTTGAGCATTCTTTCCTCATCCCTAACAAATTCAACTATTACCTCAGATATGACATTGCACTTTTGCTTTAATTACACAAGATAAATTTTCAGGAAAAAGTAAAGATCAAGCAACTGAGAAGGCGAACGGCATGTTAGTGTTCATTTCAAAAGGTTTAGAGTACAAGAGTAGGGAAGTCTTGCTCCAACTGTATAGGGTCTTGGTAGACCGCACGTAGAGTATTGCGTGCAGTTTTGGTCTCCTTATTTAAAAAAGGACATACTTGCCCTAGAGGGGATGCAGCGTAGATTCACTCGGTTAGTTCCTGGGATGAGGGGACTGACCTATGAGGATAGGCTGAATAAACTAGGGCTGTATTCTCTAGAGTACAGAAGAATTAGGGGGATCTTATTGAAACTTATAAGATTCTTAAAGAGCTGGATACAGTAGACACTGAGGGTCTGTTTCCCCTTGTAGGAGAATCTATAACCAGGGGTCACAGTCTTAAAATTAAGGGACAGCCTTTTAGAATAGAGTTGAGGAAACATTTCTTCACTCAGAGGGTAGTGAATTTATGGAATTCACTACCCCAGAAGGCTGTAGATGCTCAGTCCTTGAACATTTTCAAGGCTGAGGCTGATAGATTTTTAAAAAATAGAGGGATTAGGGGATATGGGGATAGGACAGGTAATTAGAGTTAGGTTAGAAAATCAGCCATGATCTTATCGAATGGCGGGGCAGCCTCGAGGGGCCGAATGGCCTACTCCTGCTCCTAATTCTTATGTTCTTATTAGTCTCAACAGGTTTGTCCTTAATTGTTTGATCAATTTCACATTCTCACTACAGCTTCCATCTCTTCACAAATGCAGGTTGAGCCCAAATTGACATTGAGACAGCAGAGGAGATAATCACGGAATATTAAATGTTCATTAACGTGTGCCTTTTTTGACTTAAGCATTTAGTCAAAATATTACAATGTAATTTTATTCTACGAATTCTGTTCCATTTGTGTGCATTAACACCAACATGGCTTTCTGGCTGTTACAATTGGCACTAACATCTAGAAATAAATCTGGAAGCAACAAAAATGTTGTTTTTAAGCAAACATGCAATGGGAGTATGTTTCTTTGATGTTACAACTTTTTTTCAACATAGCTATAAATTTATCTCTCGTCATGGTCAAATCTGCAGGTTCACATTTTCTTGTCTGTGCTGTGCTCAGACAATGGTCAACTTGTTCCAATGGTGCATCCCACCAGTAGAGCAGTGTGTCTAATTTCTAATTCCAGCAGCAATAATTGATTATTTTCTTTCTGTTGTGTTTGAAATTTATAATTTTTGTGCCACATGCAGGTTCCGAACAAATGATTATTTATTTTAAGGGTTGAATTCCCAAACTATACTGTAAACGAACATCTGAGATTCACTACTAATGTGTCAAGAACATCACATAACACAAAGCATCCTTTATGTGCATATGAACGAACAAGATAATGATGTAATATTGTCGACGTGCACTGTGATATTGATTTTCAATTTTCTTTTTCAGCATTGGCTGGAACCCAACAAGTCAGTGGTGAAGCAAATGAAATGTAAGTTTTTGACAGATTCCCCCTTTCAAGCTGCAGCTTGAAAAAATGCCTAGAGTTTACTTTACGTATGTTAGTGTTGCAATCTGTCGCAACAGTCAGCCGATCGGCAGAAATGCTGCCCGAGTGAGGAAAGAATTCTGTTAACTGTTGGCTGTACATTGTTTAAAAATGGTTGTCTCTGTGCTTGGGAGATGGGCACCACCATTTGAGTGTCTTGTCTGGTTGTATAGGGTAAAATATTGGTTGGTTAGCTACTTACTTTCTTGTGAGAATGGCACAGTCTAGAATGGTTTTAATCTATCAAATGGACAACTGGAAATTGTTTAATTACAGTATATCCATAATTGCAGGTGGTTAATAGATAAATGGTATGAATATGCTAATTGGTGTAATCTTGGCAAACATTCTCGTTTTATCTCTTAACCTCCTGGCAAGTTTAATTTATAAAGAAACATGAACCTGTTTATTTTTGCTTGTACCAAATCTAATCCTTTTAACACCCCGAAGCCATAAATTACACAATCTCTGCCTAACTGCAAGATTATGATTAAAATGCCAAACATCTGAGAGGTAGAAAAAAGGGTGTTTAAAAATAAAATTCTCCTCAAAGACAATTTTATTGTAAAAAAAACTTCAAAGCTTTCATGAGGGCCTCATTATGAGTAAAGCACAGCTTATTAGAGTACCTTGGCTGTGGCAATACTAGTGTGGGAATGTGTGGCCAAAATGTATACTGTAAAATTTAGTGTTTAATCCTTAGACTACTACCAAGTCCAGAGAAACTCCAGGTTGACAGTGATGCTGTAGCAAACATTAATATTACAGTAAAGTGACCCAGATGTCAGGCTGGATATTTCATACCTCAGTCTATAGCTTGATTTTCAAATTTTTAAAGCATCAAATTAGCTGCCAGATTGGTTTGAAGTGAGAGACTTTGCAGTTTCATATAGGGCCGCTTTGGGAAGCATGTCAATGAATGTTCTTCATCATTGCCATCAGTAGAGCAATCTAACAGGAAGACCTGTAGTTAAGAGGTTTTATGCAATTATTGGAATTGATGTTTTTACAAAAGAAAAGTCATAGAAAGTTTTCTAGTTTTTTTTATGGATCAAAATTTTATTTTGTAGCACTTTGAACAAATAACACTCAGATTTCTATTCCCCTCTATCTTCAACCCTTATTTTATAGTTGCCATTTCATATAAAAATGTAATATATATAGTTACCCAATATTTAGATGATGTTAAACTTGTCTGATGTCATTGAATCATAGAAATGTACAGCACAGAAGGAGGCTATTCGGTCCATTGAGTGTGTACCAGCTCTCAGAGCAAGGTGTTTATTCAATCCCATTACCCTGCCTTATCCTCACCCCCCTTCAAGCCTCTCAGCTTCATATATGTGTCTGCTTCCCTCTGGAAACCCACAATGGACTCTGCCTCAAGTACTTTACTTGGCAGGACATTCCACATATATGTTGTGTCATATAGAGTAGATTTTACATTGTATGTTCAGTGTATAATTGGAAAATTTTCCAAATGAGCAGTGGCTCAGTCTTCACGCCTTAGCCTAAGTGTGGATTTTAAAGTGAGACATGTTTCTGCAATTAAAATGGTAATGTCTAATTCCACAGCTAATGGGTATTTGAGAATACCTTTAATTCACAGTTACAATGCTGAATATTGAAAAGGTACAGGATAATTCTCTACGCTTTGTGTTATAATTAATGTTGTTCTGAACTTGCTTCTTCACCATTTGTGTACTCCACGAGAGGCCAGATGTGATACCAGGGTTGCCTTTTGCCAGGTGGGTGCTTCAGTGAAGACTGCACCATTGTATAACCATGTATTGCGGACAGTAGCATGACCTTTTAAATCATTCCCTTCTACTGACTTGATCTTGCATTGTTTAAAAACTTTCTTGATATAAAATATACAGCTAAAGGATCAAAAAGGTAAGTTACCACACAACATCAGATGAAGGATATTCCCTTAGACAAGATTTGTTTTCCTTTATAAAAAGTTAAAGTTCAACCATGGCCTGTTTCATTAAGTTTTCTAGGCATTACCATTTTAAAATAAAATAAATTATACATAATTGTTACTTCTCATGAGCAAAGATGCTGCAGTTAAATAGAGATAAGAACTATTAAAGTCAGGTTTTATTCACAACATTAAAACCCTGAGTATTTTTAGTTATTCTCCGGTTCTACTTTTTCTACCAAAACAAGAGGAAAAATTGGCGAGGGAGGGGGAATTTAACACAAAAAGACCCAAGTACATTCAGTGAAAATTGGTATTTATTTTACTGAATTAAAAAAATCGATATATCAAGCTGTAGTAACAAAATGTGTGTTTTTTTAAAATAGTAACTTAACCGATGGAGGTAACCAACAAGATATTTCACCTTAAGAATAGAAAGGCAATGCAGTGTGATGCGTCCATCACAAAACCAGTCTCTCTGCATTGGCCGCTCTGGGATTATGCATGCTAGATGGGCACACACCATCACGGACACCAAATAAAATCAGCGAATTTGATTTTGATAAATAAAATTTGGGTAAAAAACATTTTTAACTGATTGACTTTTATCCAATCCGTTTTTAAAAAAATGCAATGGTCCTTAAATACAGTGCAAACCCTCCTTCAACCCAATTCAACTTCTCACTCAATAACGCCCTGACAACTCTCAGACGCTACTATGAAGCTAACAGAGTGGATTCTGTTAAACCCAGGATGATTGTCATTCTGATGGAATCTGCTTGGAGCAGAAACCATTCTCAGGTCATCCACACTGTGTTCTTATAATAATAATAATAATAATAATCCTTGCATTTGATATAGCGCTTTTCACGTCGGGAGGACGTCCCAAAGCGCTTTACAGAACACACTGTAAAGTGAATTGACTGTATATTTGTGGGCGAACGAGGCAGCCAATTGCGCACAGCAGTGTCCCACAAACAGTCGTAGATTGAAAATGACCAATTTATTATTGTTTTTGGTTTTGGAGGGATTATTATTAGGCGTGTGGAGTAAGGAAACTTGCCCAAGGTTTCGCCCTGCCTGGAATTGAACTCAGGTCTCTCACTTGCAAAGCAAGTGCTCTAACCACTGAGCTACAGGACTCCACAAAGCTACAGGACTCCACTTCTTCCTGGTTGAATTCTAAAGATTATTGACATAACCGCATTTTCTCTATGCAAAGTCTGTTTCCTTTGCATTTCATTCTTTATTACCAGTGGGATTTTNAAAAAACACGCAAATGGTAAAGCCACTGCAATTACTGGAACCTCGCTCTGAAAAAATGCCTCATGCTTGTTTTCTTCAGGGGATCCTCTGTAACATTGTGTACCTGGTGCATAATCGACACCTACCTGCGCCTCATTGAATTTGTTGTCTTGCGAGTCGGTGTGTAGTAGTACAGGGAATACAGAGAGCAGTTTATTTAATGGTGAAGATCACCAGGAACAAGGTACNTTTTTCAACCCATTTTAAAAAAAGTAAGAAATGTATATTACATTTGACTTTCTAAATGAATTGCATTAAATTTATTAGAAATAATTAATCCAGCCTGTTCAGATAAAATAATTTATACACTGTACAACAATTAGCAGTGACATTTGTGCTCCAGTTTTCCCTTCTCTGACCAAATGCATTTTCTTCATTTGTGAGCCTGAACTGTTGGCAGGCTATTTAATTGTGAGGCCTTCACAGCCAGACCCAATAGTGCCCTCACACAAAGTCCACAAAACTCAGTGTATAGTGATTACCAGTGAAAACTGTGATTGACTCTACCTCTGTTAGGTTGAGACCAGCTAGGTCAGTCCAAGATCCAAGATTGAACCTAAGACCTTCCTGATTTGTATGGTACAAAGTTCATTTTTAGCATACTGCATACAGCCATTTAAAGGAAACGTGTTGCATGGATCAGTGCAATCTGGTGTTTAAATAGCATTCATTTTGAACAATGCTTATTCAAAAAAAATCCTTATCGCTTTTCCTTTAATGAGCACACCATTAAAGGACATGTCAAACAAAGGGACCCCATTTAATCATGACCTTACCCATGCATTCTGCTGATGTACAGCAAAAGAAAACATTTGCAAATGATCATCTGAACTGAACATATTGTTGCTGGGTCAAGGGAGGCAGCACGTTCTCAATTATTGTTAGAAAATGGGAATTAACGTTCTACTCTGATTTATAATGCAGCTGCTCGATATCATGAGAAGAAAAGTGTTATGTATATCTTCTTTCCTGACATGCACCCTGCTTCAAAGCTGCCTTTTCATGCATCTTTATTCCATCGTTATCAATGAGCTTTCTTGTCCACAGCAGAGGTATGCCTGAAAATACAGAGCTTATTATCGCATGAGGTTCCTGAATGTTTGAACTGGCCTAAAGCACCTCCTGATATGAAAGTTAGTTTCCCGAAACTTGAGAAGGAACAGATTTATTTAGTGCTGCTTTCACTTGTTTCTTTGTAATATTGCAGCTCAGCCTCCGTATACCATGTGCTTTAGAGTGAAGTTCTACCCAAGCGAACCCATGAAAGTCAAGGAAGAAATCACCAGGTATGTTTTTCATTCTCTCTTCAGAATACTGACCTGTGTGTAATGCCTGTAAAAATACAGAATTGTTTACAAACTACCACTTGAATAATAAGAATTGGAAGATTTGAATAAGTGATTGAACATTAATATAGCCAGAGGGAATTAGGGAGTGTGTAGCATCCAACTGGATCCATCACTGCCACATTGCCCAAGAGAGTGATGCAGTTTGACTTGATCTTTCCTTTACTATTCTCATTTTGAGAAGATTGTTAGCTAACTATTTCAATTCACCTCTTAATAATAATAATAATAATCCTTGCATTTGATATAGCGCTCTTCACGTCGGGAGGACGTCCCAAAGCGCTTCACAGAATACACTTAAAGTGAATTGACTGTATATTTGTGGGCAAACGCGGCAGCCAATTGGGCGCAGCAATGTCCCACAAACAGTCGTAGATTGAAAATGACCAATTTATTATTGTTTTTGGTTTTGGAGGGATTATTATTAGGTGTGTGGAGTAAGGAAACTTGCCCAAGGTTTCGCCCTGCCTGGAATTGAACTCAGGTCTCTCGCTTGCAAAGCGAGTGCTCTAACCACTGAGCTACAGTAGTTATATTTTCTTTACCAATATTTCATTGATGTAGATCCTACTGTAATATAATTGTAAAGCTTGCACTTGCACTATCACCATGTAATTTGACTTAATTCAAGGGGTATCATGTTCAGTGCACAGTTGCCCTTTTTTGTCTTCTTTCAGGATTTGAAATGTTTTTCAGATAACATGAAGTAAGCCATTTTAGTAGGCAATGAGTGGGTCTTTTAACTGTCAGAAAAGAACTGAAATCCAAATAATGAATTAACTATTTGGTTTGACAACACATTGTTTACATTCTTACACAAACTAGCCCTTTTGTTTGCAGAGCCTGACAATCCAACCACTCTCCCACACAGAATGAATTGCTGTGCCTTTGGTATCTTTAAGAACAGTTACGGTGATTTGATAAGGGATATTTCTACTCGGTTTTCATCACTTAAAGTTTGCATCTTTGCCCTGAAAGTGATTGAGTGCTTGAGGTCTTATCACAGACAAACGGACTCTTTAAGAAAATTCAGCCCTGGTTCTTTGTGTGCAGATTTTGAGCTGCTGTGCAATTTATTGCAGTTTACATATTTTCAATCTGCAGACCTGTAATACGTAGGGATAGTTTAGCAGTTTCCTATGCTGACTGAGCAGTGATAAGGTCTTTCATTGTTAGCTATGTATCTCACTAAACACAGATTGAGCTGATGTCCATGTATTTGTATTTAGTTGTTGTTGTAACAGAGATGATGACTTTCTCAGGTCTTGGGCAAGCGTTGTACTCCCTTTATGACCTGGTTCTAACACACACATGACTGCATTGCATGTCTTCTGAGGGAGAAGTTATAAATATTTAATGGCTGATCTCTTTTAAGATGTTGTGCTTTTCCTTAGGACTCACTCTTGCCTTGACTTATTTTACATGATTCCCTACCTCCTCCCACCCAATGATAAGCGTATAAAATGTCAGCTGCCAATCGTGCCATATTCCCATGACTGGAAACTTGTATTCTGCCAGAAATTTAGTCCTGGATACCTGCTTTGTGCTTTCACCAGATGTGTTGTAGCTTTCTCAGATGTTGAACAGTGAGCTGCTTCTGGAACTCGCCTCCTCTGGGAAAAGCTCATGAATGTTTAGCTGACCTGTATCTGTCACTGGTTGTTGATTAGAGATGCACATTATGCTGAAGCTGCATTGATTCTGGAACACTTCTGGTAGACATTACTTTGGAGGTGAGGCTTAAGACAGGAAGGGGTTGGTGGGGGAGTGTTAAGAGAAAACTACGGTTAGAGTCTTAAATATATAAATATATCCGTAGTTTATCACACAAAATAATATTAAATTTAAATACAATAGAATTTTACATCTCTATTGCACCTTTAATGTTGTGTGGACGTCCTGAAGCCCTTAACAGTACTGGCTATTTATGAAGTTTATTTCAAGTCATTTATTGAGGAATACATTTAGAAACCTGCTTGGCATTAGTGTTATCATGAAAAACCATGCCTATAATATCTTTTTTTTAAATAATTGGCAACATGTTTGCAAAAACTTCAACTTCCACAATTCAATACATTATTTTTCCGATTCACAGCAATCAGAGATTCCTTTTGTTACCTTCCTGATCTGTATTGGGTCAGTGGCACATCAATCACATATAGTCACAATATATTCCTATTCATCCACTGAGATTTTCAGGGAGCATTTTTTAATTTCTTATATTAAATTGTTTTGGACTCCCAGGTAATTTGCTTGTTTTAGCCTCCCAGTTGCTCACAAGCCTTTGCAATTTAGTCCCTTGTTTAAAATTAGCCCCTTCTATGCATTTGGAATTCAATTGAATTAAGCACCGATTTGCAAGGAACCTGAGAGTTCAAGGCGCAATATAAGTGCAAATTGTTGTTATCGTTGGATGATACAAACTAGTGAAAGGTCAAAAAAACTCACATTTCTGCCCAAAGCTCAATTCTTTCCCAGTTTGAACTAGATAGAAAAGATTCCCCTCACATAATAACAAAATTGCCTTGTATCAATTTTTTATATTATATTCTCCCTTTTTAAAAATAATTGGCCCAGACCAAAATGCCCAATCAGCTAAATACTATTTTTTTTCATAGAACCCAATAAGTTTACTGAAGCTAAGAAAATCCCAAAATTGTATCTTGTAATGCACAGAGAGCAAGCAGAATATTTGAGGCTGGGTGAAACCAAAAGGAGAACCCTGCAAAAAAAGGGAGGCCTGAACACTTGGATTAACACTTTATTGTGCCCAGGAGTAGGTCATATACTGCCACCTAACAATAGAATATGATGAGGTCCAAATGTCACAATGGGCGAATATGGCTAATGTGGTCCTCCCAGATCCAGTGTCATCCAAGGCTGGCTCACCAAGGGGTAGTCTGGAAGATACAAGACCAGTGAGAATATCTACATCTCTGCAATTAGGCTCAAGAAAATACTGGGCATGAGTTTTCTCAAATTTTTAATACTGAGAAATATGGGGGCGATGGAGAGGGGTTCAATTTATTAAATAAGCCGAGTCCTGAGTAATTTTCATTTTAAGCACACTTTCTTTTCAATTTTGCAAACGTGGCTGTGGTTCATCTTATTTGAGATAAATGAAAGCATGGCAGTGTTTAAAAAAAGCTAATTTTCTGCAGCATTCTTCACATTAAGTCTTCTCAGTCGAAGCTGTATTTTATCATGATATTTAATGCACACATTCTGTCCTTGAAGTTGCCCTTTTCAACTACTTAATGCACTCCATCACCTAGTCCTTTTAGAGTATCTTCTAATCTACAATAATTGTTGCAGTAACCCTAGTTCCGAACATGTTCCTTGAAAACTAAGTATTTCAGAGAATTAATTGCTGATTTCATTGTTATTTTACAGGTTCCTGTTATACCTTCAGATTAAAAGGGACATTTTCCATGGACGTCTACTTTGCTCTTTGTCTGATGCTGCTTACTTGGGAGCATACACTCTACAAGGTCAGTCAGCCAGTACTTCACATGAGTTTCCTTCCTCTGATTTGTGTTGTTGTCTCCCATGATGCCACAGTGCCACTTTGACTAGGCGGCCACCAGGTGTAACTGCAGCAAAAACGCAAAACTGAAAATAACTCATGAACAATAGGAGATACTGGAAAACAAATATGCCCATGTCACTTCCAGATGCAAGACCTTTCCAATGAGGTATAATTCATGTCTCGTCGGCAATTGGTTATTGAGATCCTTCTTGAAGCGCAGACAGACATTGTTGATTTATTAGTATAGATAATCCTTGCATTTGATATAGCACCTTATCACGTCATCAAAGCATCTCAAAGCGGTTCACAGAATATACCATAAAGTGGTGTATACCTTGTATATTTTGTATGAGCAATTACAATTTACATATACTTTATTTTGCATTGTTGTATGTTTCTGTGACATCTGTTTCCACCTGCTTCCTGGTAAACACTGTTTCCTAGTGTTGTGGTCGTATTTCTATAATACTATGTTATAAGCACACATGATTATAAATGTTTAGTCCTCCTATTTAAACGTAATGCACTGCTCATGACAGACCAACGATTCTGGTTCATCAGCAGGACCTGGAGAGGAAGGGATTTTTCCCATTTGGCTTCCTGTTAATCCTGCAAGCCAAAACCCTAATGAGAAGTGTGGTACTAGCTGGATAAACAACAGGGCATTTGCCAGACAATGCTCTCAATGGCAAGCTATGTAATTTTAGCTGGTCTAATTCCAACAGTACCTCAATGCATACACTGGGGTCCCTAAGCCTTGGCTCTTGCTAACCTGTACCTAATGTTTTCTGTAATTAAGTAAGCAGGGTGCAAGGCAAGGTTCCATGCATACGTGAAACTCTCCTCATTTCGGACTTGTTTACACAACAGAAGATTGCTTTCTTACAATTGTTTTATTTCATGTGTAAATGCCAGCTGCACCACAAAGAAAAATATTCACAACAGAAGAGACTGGAATGTGAAAAGCAGGTCGATCAATAGCTAAAAGAGAAAGCTGGGTCAACATTTTGGGTGTGACACTGAATCTAGTTCTGAGGAATAGTCAAAGTCAAAACGTTAACCTATACTCATCTAAATGATCGACCTGCAATGCATGTCCATTTCCTGTTCTTATCTCAGATTTCCATCATTTGTTTCTTTATTTTGAGCTTGACTATCGATCTGAAACTGCTTTCATTTCATGAGGCATGTAAATGAACACCTTAGTGCGTATACACATTTGTAAAGAGTACCCATATGTGCGGGTCGGAAATAGCATGCTCACCTTAAAAATTGCACTCTGTGAAACTCTAGTGGGACAAAAATAGGAAGAAATAATTTCACAATAGACTAATTAAAGGAAGTTGAGAATGGGCATGCACTCTGAATGAAATCCTAGCAGTATGAAGCTTTAGGATATTGGACATTAACCAGGGGCAATGATGACTGTAGAGTGGGGTGATCACATGGATTACGGTAAGGAGATTGCATTAGAGAAGGCTATTATGCCACATAACTTTTGAATGGACCCTCAGAGTATAATGGAAGGGATCCCAGCTGGCAAACAAAGTGTGGTTGACCGTAGAAATTTTCAAGTACCAGATCATTTATTTTCAGCTGCACAATACAAATCACTTCAGCAATTAACAGAGTTGTTTTGCTGAAAGTTAATGTATTGTGAAGCTTTCTGCATATGTGTCAAAGAGGTCTGCAATAGTCTGAATAACATTAGGTGTGAATACAGTAGAGCCCCATTTTAATGCATTTTATTATAAGGCAGGTTCAGTTAAAGCACGGATGGAGTCTGGATCCAATTCACTTGCATGTACAGCTATTGTTTTACTGGGGAAGTGCTTTCACCAGCTGCACAGGCCGTTACAGTCTCATTATAAGGCTTTTATGGACTTCACTACCACCTTATAATGGCACTCCATCACACATATTTGGATCCATACTCCCATTAAACGCTTTGATTTATGAAAATACATCCATCGTGCTGATATGAATTAATTGGAACACTAGCTTTGTTTACAAATGTATTTTAATATTATAAGTTTAATTTGTGGGATTTGTCGTGTTATTCAGCACATTATTGAGCACATTTGTCTTTTTACAGCTGAGCTAGGCGATTACAATCCAGATGAGCATCCGGTTGGTTACATCAACGAAATCAAGGTGTTTCCCAAACAAACTCAGAAACTGGACAGGAAAATAGGAGAGATTCACAAAAATGAACTGAGGTATTCAACGACAATGTGTTATGATTTTGGGGGTATGGAGAAAAGGCCTGAAAATGGAACTGAAAGGATTGCTCTTTGAAAGAGCTAGCACAGACACGATGGGCCAAATGGTCTTTTTCTGTACTATAAACTTCTACAGTTCTATGGTCCTCATACTCATTCATATATTCCCACAAAAGGGAAATGTGCGAGAACCAAGCCTGCTTGGATGACCAGGGATATTCTGTCTAGGATGAAAAAGAAGAAAATGGCGTACGACAATTGGCGGATGCAAGACACTGAGGATAGCAAAGCGCATTATAGAGAATGCAGGAGTGATCTTAAAAGAGCGATAAGACAGGCTAAAAGATCGCATGAGAAGAGGTTAGCGGGTAACATAAAGGGGAATCCTAAAATATTTTATAAGTACATAAAGGAAAAAAGGTTAGTTAAAGGTAGGGTGGGGCCAATCAAAGACAATGATGGCAATCTTGTTGTGGAGCAGAGGGTGGTAGTTAATGGGTGTTTCTCGCAATGGAAGGAGGTGTGCAGCGGTGTCCCCCAGGGATCGGTATTGGGACCACTGCTCTTTCTAATATATATTAATGATCTGGATTTGGGCATAGGGAGCACTATTTCCAAGTTTGCAGATGATACCAAGGGCATGGCTGATGTACTAAACGAGTACTTTGCATCTGTCTTCACAACGGAAACGGATGCCCCAAATGCCACAGTATTGGATGACAGTGTAGAGGACATAGATCAGATTACTACAGACAGAGAAGAAGTTCTGAAAAGATTGACTGGGCTCAAAATTGATAAGTCACCAGGACCAGATGGGTTTCACCCAAGGTTGCTGTGGGAGATACGGGTTCAAATAGCGGAGGCTTTGGCCATTATATTTCAATCGTCATTGGATACAGGAGTGGTGCCAAGAGACTGGAGAGTAACTAATGTTACCCCACTCTACAAAAAGAGGCAGAAAGACAAGCCCGGAAATTACAGGCCAGTCAGCCTAACTTCGGTAATAGGAAAGCTACTGGAGACCGTAATCCGGGACAAAATAAATCTCTACTTAGAGGAACACAAGATAATTAGAGACAGCCAACATGGATTTGTTAAAGGCAAATCTTGCCTAACAAATCTAATAGAATTTTTTGAAGAGGTGACTGCGAGGGTTGATGAGGGAAATGCGGTGGACATTATTTACATGGATTTTAAAAAGGCTTTTGACACAGTACCGCATAAGAGGTTAATAAAAAACTGGAGGCCCACGGTATTAAGGGGACAGTAGCCGTTTGGATTAGGAACTGGCTGAGTGACAGAATGCAGAGGGTGGTGGTTAATGGGTGTTTCTCGCAATGGAAGGAGGTGTGCAGCGGTGTCCCCCAGGGATCGGTATTGGGACCACTGCTCTTTCTAATATATATTAATGATCTGGACTTGGGCATAGGGAGCACTATTTCCAAGTTTGCAGATGATACCAAGTTAGGTAGGGTAGTAAATAGTGAAGAAGATTGTGACGGACTGCAGGCAGACATACACAGAATGGTGGAATGGGCTGACATGTGGCAGATGGATTTCAATGTAGATAAGTGCGAGGTGATACACTTAGGTAGGAAAAATGATAGGAGGCAATATAGGCTTGGTAGCTCAATCTTAAGGGGGGTGAACGTACAGAGAGATCTGGGCGGTCAAGTAAGCGATTCATTGAAGGTAGCAGAGCAGGTAGATAGGGCAGTAAAAAGCGCATTTGGTGTACTGAGCTTCATTAGTAGGGGCATAGAGTATAAGAGTAGGGAAGTTATGCTTAATCTGTACAAAACACTGGTTAGGCCTCAGCTGGAGTACTGCGTCCAGTTCTGGGCACCTTACCTCAGGAAGGATATTAAGGCACTGGAAAGGGTGCAGAGGAGATTCACGAGAATGATACCAGGAATGGGGAAGCTTAGCTATGAGGACAGGCTGGAAAAGTTAGGACTTTTCCCATTAGAGCAGAGAAGGTTACGCGGGGACCTGATAGAGGTCTTCAAGATCATGAAAGGTTTCGACAGGCTAGATAGGGAAAAGCTGTTTCCGCTGGTAGGTGTGTCTGTGACTCGTGGTCACAGTCTTAAGATATCTACCAAAAGAAGCAGAGGGGAGGTTAGAAGAAATGTTTTCACTCAGCGAGTTGCTAGAATTTGGAATGATCTGCCCGAAAGGGCAGTGAAGTCCGATTCGATAACAGCTTTTAAGAGCGAACTGGATAGGTGTCTGGAGAAGACAAGTTTTCAGGGTTATGGGGAGAAAGCTGGTGAGTGGGGTTAATAAAAGTCAGTTGCTCTGTCAAAGAGCCGGCACAGATTCGATGGGCCGAATGGCCTCCTTCTGTGCCGTAACATTCTATGATTCTATGATTCTATGATTTTAGTCCTCACGCATCACTGTACCTTGCAAAATTAGCTGCTTATCCTGTTATTATCTGAAAGCGTTAAACCGCTAAAGTATCCATTGCTGTTGTTGGTAGTCTGGCCCATGTATCCAGTACACCGTGGGTGTGGGGGCAAGAGGAGAATCTCCACAATCCCATGTATGGCTAGAAATTTGTTAATTTTAAACCCAAGTCTGCTAATTCTGGCCTCACATTCCAGTTAATTAGACTGAAAACATAGCGCCTCTGGATTAATAGCAATCCAAACTGGCCCAGAAAGGAAAAATAATACTATGTTGTGATCTGTAATTACATATAACATAATGAATATGGAAATTACACATTTTATTTAGTACAGTCACTGTGGTCATACCAGTAGCGCAGTGCCACAGCTGATGTGTCTGCTCAAGGTGGTGATAANTTTTTTTTATTTGTGAGGAGAGAAGTGTACAGAGCAGTGAACAGTCTCGACAACAACATGGCTTGAGATTCGAGTAATACAGTGGTTGAATTGTTGAAGGGGCACAGAGATATTCTGCCACAATGTTATCTTATTTTGAAGCTGTGTTGTTCTTGAGCCTGTCAATTAAAGTAGTGCGTACAATTCTTTTACATCACTGGGGAGGAGAATCTGCCCCAAAAATAACACAAATAACACTACTGATTTACTAAAGTAACCAGAACACAAAAGACATAAACTTGTTAACTATTCCTAAGGGATATATTTGGGGAGCTGGTGGTGAATAAGATCAAAGTGTGAGAAAACCAACTCTCATGTTATAGTAACGGCAAATAAAACATTTTACACGGATTGTTAATGGACAAGTATTTGGACCATCAGTCACTGTAAAAAAATATGTTTTTTGATTACAAGGCAGTGTTTGATAGGGGTCACAGACAATTCTTTGTCCATATACGTGGCCACCAACAAGGATTATCAGGAATATGCATGCTGAGTCTGGATTAGAGTAGAACAAGCAGATTTGTATGCATCCCATCACACCTGCTGTTCAGCATTTCATTTACTAAATTGTTATCAAGGCATTATTACAGAAGCGAGGGAGAAGCAGCTGGCAGCCTGGTTGGGGGTTGTCTGATCTGGATGTTGCCAATGACATTGTGTTGGTTTTAAAAAAAAAGATTGCGAAACGCTACAGAAAGCTCAATCCAATCATAAATAAATGAACCAAAACATAGAACTGGTGTTTAACAATAGGAAATAAACCCAAGTAAATGAAAAAGTAGGTGACAGCTGAAATCCACATTAGTACTGGCAGAGAAGCACTGATAAAGGTAGAGGGAATTCACTTACCTTGCTTTCAGTGAAATAACAGAAAGGACAAGGCCAAGAAAGGAACTGACAAGGTATTTGATATACTAAGGAACATCTGAGGACAGAAGAGCCATTTCTGCCCAAGATCTAAATTATAGTCATTCTTGGCACGTTACTCTCTAAATCTAAGCGTTGGGCTCTGATTGAAGAGGAATAGATGCATTTCTGCGAGGGCTTCAGAATAACAAGAAAGGATCACAGAAGTTAAGCTAAGAACTTAGAGTCATCCATGTGCGGCTGATTAAACAAGGTTGAAATGAATCACTGATGACGAGGCTGATGCTTCGGCAATTGCCTGTGGGTTTCTTAACAAGAAAGAGAAAACAAGGGAAAACGATGGAGAACCTGGATTGACAGTCAATTAAACCCAAAGATTAATTGAAAATGGCTTGTTTCCAGCACTGGAGGAAATGGAGTATAAAATGCTTAGGTTATTAAATGATTAAGTATTAAAACCTATTTCTAAAAAAAGGGCCATTTGAATATATGGATGAGGATGAGATTGAGTGCTAGGAGAGATAGAAATAGAGATGCAATGATGTTGGAGCCATTGGAATCATTAAAATGTCACAAGTAGAATGGCAGCTAGACCAGAATGTCTACTGTGGGTTGGAACGCATAGTTTTGCCTCCTTTACTTTTTGGATGAGGGTAGAGAAAGGTAGAAATTTTAGAGAATATTTTTTAGGTAGATTGAAAAGGGTGGAGTATAATCCATGATGAGCGTATCATTCGTGGTCTTGCTGAGGCAAGTGGCCTTTTCTTATTCCATGCTTTGTTATTTGAGGTATTAAGACAGAGCTGATATGTTTTATATTGAAAATAAAACATTAGAACAAATGAATGTATGGAAAAAATCAGAAAACACCATTGCGATCCATGTAAAAATACTGAATATACTTTAGCTGTCTTGATCTCTTGCTCAAAATTGGATCTTGTTTTAAAAAGCTAATTTGTAGTTACAGCAAAGCCTTCAGTTCTCTAATATTGCGTCACATGACATTCCGTAATTTGGCCAAATGATTCACGTGGATATTTTTAAAAGTGTTCTGCTGCCTGAATGATAAATCAATTCTGTTTCTTATTTCAGTGGTCAGACTGCAGCAGTTGCTGAACTGAACCTGCTGCAGAAAGCTCATACTTTAGAAACCTATGGAGTGGATCCGCATCCATGCAAGGTAACAGTAAGCCATTCCAATGCAAATGATCATCACAGACTGGGTCATTTTGCTCACTGGTGTTCTCCAAATGTATGACCTGCAAATCAAACTGAGGTGACATTTTTACTGTGGATTATTGTAGTTTATGATTATTATATTTAGAGCATTGTCTGTGTAGCCAGGCACAAGAACTGAAAGATAAGGAACAATAATCCTAACATTTGATATAGTGACTTTCACGTCAGGAGGACATCTCAAAGCACTTCACAGGATATACTGTAAATGTAGTGACTTTATGCGTGATTGCGGCAGCCAATTGCACACAACAATGTAGTGAATATTCGCGGGGGTTTTACTTAGTTTCCTTTAGGGATTGTCCTTTAGGAGCTTTTCTTCTAAGACAATGAAGTAGAGTGGGATTCTAGGTTGCATTTTGTGTCGTCTGTTGAAAGATTGCACTTTGTGAGAGAATAGGCTTTCTTTGTTCCAAGCATTTCTTTTGTAATCCTCTAAAATCATATGCTATCTCAGATCAAATATTGCTGAAATATTTCCTCAGTGTATTTACACAGATTTATCTCTGGTAAGGCTGTTTCGGGCTTTATTGATAAATGTTTTCCACATTTTTGTAATGTTTTTGATGGTGCACTTAAACAGATTGACTCATTACGTCAGTGATAGTAACAGCAGTAGTCATCACATAGATGTGATTGTAATCCAAAAATTACAATTCCCTTTGTTAGACTGAGGGTTTTATAATGCATATGAGGTTTTGAAATGACAGATCTCTCCCTGATGCCATAAAACAACTTGTCACTAACCTTCTAGCAGTGACAATGCATTTTATATTTGCAATAAACAATAGACCTAGTTGTCAGTGGGAGAGCATTGATAAACAATTCCCTAATATGAAGAAAGAACAACAAGTTTCATTTATAGCAAATATTTCAAGCACATAAAAGGTCAGATTGATTAATAGTTTAAAATAAAATGAGTGTTGAAGGTTAGTATTTCCCAGTTATTCAGTGTGTTCCAGGGATCTGCATCACAAACAATAGCAAGGCATATGACCTGTAGTGTAAGTGAGTGTGTGTAGTGCGCCTGTACATATTGGATAAATATTTCTGAGCATGTTGAAATGCTGTGATCTACAGAAAAGAAAGGTCAGTTTCTGCAATAGGTTTATAAAAATTCCAATTTCTGGGCCAAAGCAGTTCTATACATTTTCATGAACAGTGATTCTGTAAATACCATAAAATACCATACCTTCAAAATGCACAGCCACAACACTTTACAGTATATCCTGCGAAGCACTTTTAGACGACCACCTGATGTGAAAGGTGCTATATCATATGTAAGGATTATTATTTTATAGTTATTGCTCAAACTACAGGAAGAGCTTGGTTATACAATAGCAACCCTGATGAATTTAAATAACTGCTAAACATTTTAAATTTAAGAAAAACTTGCTTTATTCCAATCACTGGTGATGTTGATTTATTACACTTCTGAATGGTAACTATTATCCTCTCCGATTTCTCTTATTTACCCATTATTTCTCAGAGGGAAGATAAATTGTTGCCTCAGTTGAGCTTGTATTGTTAATTACAGTAACATCCCCATTTGTAGTGATTGTTTTTTATGGACGAATATAGCAAGTTCTGCACAGCAATGTGCCACAAAGTGAATGACCAATTTTATTGGGGATTGTTGGCCAGGACACCGGGAAAATCTCCTTTCTCTTCTTTGAATAGTGCCATGAGATCTCAAACGTCTGCCTAAATAAGCAGATGGGATATCATCTGAAGGACAGGATTTCCAACAATGCAGCCTATGCCAGTACTCTATTTGACTGTCAGCTTAGACTATATGAGTTCCAAGTGCTTGAACCCACAACCTTCTGACTTGGATGTGACAGTGCTACCAACTGAGCCAGGATGACACACAAATATGCAACATTTCCCCCACTGCATCTCATTTTCCAAAGAGGACTTTGAGACGTTCTCCATACATGGTGTTATATAAGTGAAATTTGTTGTTGAAATTATTGTGAATATTTGCTCTTTATTGTTAAGGATTCCTCAGGAGCAACGGCTTTCATAGGATTCACTGCCGCTGGCTTCGTCGTGTTCCAAGGAAATAAGCGGATTCAGCTCCTGAAATGGTAAGGTTTTCCTCCATAGGCTGCAGATCATCCAGAACTCTGCAGCCCGCACCAGGCTCCGTGACCCTAACACCACCATCCTCACCCGACTCCGCTGGCTTCCCATTTCACAGAGGATACAGTTCAAGATCTTGGTGGTCCTCACCTTCAAGGCCCTCCACGGTCTTGCTCCCACAACCTCTGCGACCTCCTAACCCCCTACTAACCTGCCCACTCCCTCCGCTCAGTGGGCTCCAGCCAGCTTCACGTCCCCCAGCCCAATGTATACATATACAATGTGTGTGTGTGCATGTATATATATGTATATATATGTGTGTGTGTGTATGTTTGTATATATTAAATACTTTTTGCATTAAATGGCAGCAGGAGACTTATTCCTCTTTGGATTATCTTTATAATATTATAAATGTTTCTCCATTTTATTTATTCCAGGCCTGATGTCACCAAACTGAAATTTGATGGGAAAACATTCTATGTCCATGGTATTCAGAAAGAGGTGAGATATTCCTTACAATGAGTGCCAGGTTATATGAAATATACGGACAAATGCTATACAGCACTCAATGACAAAGTCATCGGGTGCAAAAAATGTCAGAGTTTCCGTTGGCACAATATAAATAACTAATGACAGTTCAAGCCCTCTCTATTTGTACAGTCTTGGGTTGCCGATTCTGAAAATGTTCAGAGTCTGTGTGCTTTTAAAAATTGGACAACTCTGATAAATGTTAGATGTGGTGTACAGTGGAGAGTTAATTATCCATACTAATTGGAACCAGCTCTATTGTGGATAAGCAAATAGTGTGGATAATTGGACATTACGAAAATACAAATGAGCTACGATGCTAAATAAATGATCTCTCCATCAGGATTTAGACTGTTACTGTAATATGACACTACCAGTTTTCACTCACTCTGCCACTGTTTCTCTAACTTTTTTTCTCTCTCAGTCTGCCTTTCTCACTCTTCAATCTCTCATCCTTTCTTTCTGTGTATCTCTCTTTCTCTCTGAGTATCCCACTTTCTATCTCCCCTCTCTAAATATATTTACCTCTATCTTGGGTAGGAGCACTTGCCTCTCAAGCGAAAGTACCCGGGTTAGATTCCTGGGCAGGGCGAAACCTTAGGCAAGTTTCCTTACTCCAAATACCTCTGTTTACCTAGCAGTAAGTAGGAACCCAGTTGTTAGTCGATTGGTGGATCATTTTTTGGGGTAATTCTCCCTTCAAAAAAAATGTGGTCACTCAGGCAATGACTGTTTGTGGTATACCGCAACTGGCTGCTGCATTTCGCCCACAAAATATACAGACAGTTCACTTTATAGTATATTCTGTGAAGTGCTTTGAGATGTCAAAGTTACAAATGACATTCTCTCTATCTGTGACCAGGGATCCCGCTGCCTCCTCGTCCTCCTGGATCTCTCTTCCACGTTCGACATAGTCGACCACGCCATCTTCCTCTGCTGACGCTCCTCCCTCAGCTACCTTAATGGCACCGCACTCGCATGGTTTGAGTCCTACTTAACCAACCTCCTCGATTTCATCTCAGCAAATAGTTTCTCCTCCTGCCCCTGTCCAGTCACCTGCGGGATACCCCAGAACTCCATCCTTGGCCCTCATCTGTTCCTATTCTATATGCTCCCTATGGGCAATGTCATCCGCAGACACGGGGTAAACTTCCACATGTATGCAGATGACACACAAATTTATTTTGCCTCCTCCAGTCCGCCGATGTTCTATTAACTTGTCTGGCAGACATCAAGGTCTGGATGAGTGTAAACTTCCTGCAGCTGAATATGGACAAGATGGAAGCCATACTCCTTGGCTCCCATCAACGTCTTCACTTCTGCGGATCTAAACTCCTGAATTTCACCAAATCAGTGTGCAATCTAGGCATCCAGTTCAACCCCTAGTTGTCCTTCCTCCCCCACATCTGTTCCCTGACCAGGACTGGCTTCTTCCACCTCCGCCATATTGCGCGCCTCCAATCTTACCTTACCCCAAATGCAGCTAAAACCCTCTTGCATGCATTTGTCACCTACACCCAATGCACTCCTCGCTGGTCTCCCCAGCTCCACTATTCAAAAGATCCAGCTCATTCAGGACTCTGCTGCCCGTATACTGACCCGAACCAAACTCCAAACCCACATCTCACCAGTTCTGGCCAGACTCTACTGGCTCCCCATCATTGAATGGATCGACTTCAAGATCTCACACTCGTGTTCAAATCCATTCACTCCCTGGCACCTCCCTACCTCTCCAACCTGCTCACTCCCCATTCCACCACCCGGTGCCTCTGCTCGACTGGTACCGGCCTCCTGCTTACCCCTCGCACCCTCTGCCCCACCATCAGAGGTCATGCTTTCAACCACTACGCCCCGAAACTCTGGGACACTTTCCCTCAACCTCTCTGCCTTGCCCCCTCTCTCCCCTTTTTCAAATCCCACCTGAAAACTTTCCTCTTCCACCGTGCTTATGGCCACCTCCACCCCCGCTGGCTCGGCTCAGGCTCCACCACTGTTAAATGCTTTGAAACGCTACCCTGCGTGGACGGCGCTATATAAGTGCAAGTTGCTGCTGTTGTTGATGTCTCAATGGCGTGATAAGGCACTATATCAAATGCAAGGATTATTATTATCTCTTAAACTGTCTCTAATCCTATACTATACAAAACTAAAGACACATACCTTCAAGCTACAAGGCCAAAAATCCAGTTGTGGACTTTCCAAAAGTTGTACACGTACACAGAAGAATACTAGATCCACGATTTACTAGTGTTTCGTAGCTCAATTCCATCTCTAATAACCTTGTGGAGTCCTGTAGCTCAGTGGTTAGAGCACTCGCTTTGCAAGCCTCTATTTTGACAGCTAGCAACAGGACCCATATGATTTTAAGCATGATCCGACACTAGCAAGCCTGAGACCATGCTGAGCTGTGCTGCCAATCTAAAATTGCAGACTTGAAACAAGAGTTGATAGCAATAGGATGCTGGAGTTGAAATAGTGTCCCAATGGAAACAAAAACTATGACTTGTGTCATTTATGCCTTGGGACCTAAAGTACTGGGATCCCCAAGTATGTCACACAGACTGATGAGAGGTTGCTCTGGGAGCTGCGATCTCGTCAGTCGGCGTGATGAATGTTCGATTTCCTGCAAGAGAATCGCCTTTTCTGGCACAAATGCCATTTACATTGAGCATTTGCTGTTGGAGCTGTCATCACACTCACCAGAATTTTTCCCCAATGGTCTTACTGGTTAAATTACCCTTTGCAGGTATCCACAGAACAACATACCCGCATGTATTCATTGGAATCAAAATATTGTTAATTGCAGGGGATGTAAAGACATCAAAGCTATTGAAAGAATCTTCAAAGCAGCACAGCTATTCAATGGTTTTGGATACAGTTCAGAAATATTTTTAGATGTGTCAGTAGGTTCAATAATACATTTTTTTAAAAAGCAATGTATGGAAGAGGGTTGCCAGAACAGTTTTACTGTATAATTTAACACCTGCTGGTAAGCAACTGGCCTCATATCAGGTGCAGTGTACTCCTTCAGATCTGGAAACAAACCAGCACATTCATAATCCAGAAGTCGAACAACAAAACAAAACTAAAACTGAATGTTCTTGTGGAATGCTCAAAGTGAGTTGTGTTCAGTCAGCAATTGCTGTGGGCTTTGAAACTCTCCCCACCAACACCACACCCCCCCCAAGTTATATATGTTCCTCCCAATTCAGGCTCCAATTCCTTCTTTGTAAAGTGTTTGAGACGTAATCCTATGTGAAAGATGCTATGTAAGAGCAAGTTGGGGTTGTTTTATTAACCTCTCAAACAAGATAACAAGATACGTTAATAGTTTTGTATGTCATCTGTGCCCCTGATCTACAGCATTAATTGATTTCAAATGTGTTTTTTTTACCCTGTGCTAACACGTGCATAACAGCATTAATACATTTTATGATTGTATAGACAGCACCATTTGCTTGTGCAGAGATTAGCTCCATCAATGCCAATCAACTTGGTACAAGAAATAAATTCTACATGTTCTGCACAGAACATAAAAGCCACGGCCTGTCACTGAAACTACTTATATTGACATATTTTGATAGTGTTATGATCAGAGGTTACATTTGCCTTAACACATAATCATGAGACCAAGGGTGGAGATGCAAGTAAGTACAATAATATAATATATATCATTAATCCTTGCATTTGATTAGCAAGGATTATGGTTGTTGAGACATCTCAAAGTGTTTCACAGAATATTCTGTAAAGTGGATTGACTGTATTTTGTGAACTATGTATTTTGTGCATTGACTATTTTGTATATACTGCATTTGGCATTGTTTCAGAACAAGGTCTGTGCACTGGAGGCCAGAAATTTCATCTAGTTTTAGGCTTAAAATTTAAGGTTATGCAGAGTTTTTCTTTAAATCTTAAATTTTGAGACAGTTGTATTAAAAATAATACCAGAAGGGATTTCAGACCTTACATATTCGGATGGGCTGAGGCACAGAGTAGAACAATGTGGGGTTTGTCCTCAGAATTTTATGACCTCAGCCTTACCATCAGGCAAGGCATTGGAGTCCAGGGACTTCCCATATGCAGGAAGGGAAGTTTGGAGGGTGAGGTCCATAGCTTGGCTAACTAGGGTGTCATTCTGGTTCAGTTGGTAGCACTCTTGCTCCTGAGTCAGAAGGGTTCAAATCCCACATTGAAGATCCTGTGGCACTATTTGAAAACTGAAGGGGACTTCTCCAATGTTCTGCCAAACATTCCTCCAAATAAAATTGGTCATTCACTTCATGGCTATTTGTGGAAAATTACTGTGTGTAAAAATTGGCTGCTGCGTTTATCCACAAAACACAATCACTGTACTTTACAATCCTGTGAAGAGTTTTGGGATGTCCTCCTTACATGAAAATTGCTGTACCAAAGTATATGGATTATTATTACAGTATTATAACTACAAGGTACACGTTTCTTGGAACCAGCTTTAGCAGTTATGGGATTGTGGGCATTCTGTTTTCCATCAGAGTTGATAGAGATCAAGCTTGTGAAAAGAGGAAGGATTAAGAGTTTAGCCATTAAAAATAAGTGGTGGAAAATGTTGGTTTGGTTTAAATGTAGAAACTCTCTAACCAGCTCCTTTTAAAAAGTAATTGAGTGTGTTATTATCATGCAGTAAATGGCAACATTTTGTTCTAAGCGGGATAATAATATTGTGGACATTTTATGCAGTAAGCAATTTCAAATGGACATCTCATTTTCCACAAACATTAATGGCCAAGGCGACATCAATAGCACATATTGGGACATCAACCTCTCCTGGCTTGAAAATGAAGCTGCGGTGATGGGCAGTTAGTTGCAGGGACCTGAGATGAAACTTTGAAAATTCTGCACATTTTGAAAATGTATACGTACGCAATGTAAATGTTCTTTATCACGCATATTCCAGCGACTTGGGACATCCTCCCGAGGTGAAAGTAATGTTGTTGTTATTTCATTTCTCTCATTACACATGGTCAGAAGAAAATTGTGCTGACATATCATACATCAACCCCGGCTGCCTGCAAACATCTCTGGAAGTGTGGTGTGGAAAATCAAGCCTTTTACAAGTGAGTTTGTAGCAATAATCATTGAAGTGTTTCTATGAAAAAGGCTGTTGAATGTAAAACAGAAAAAGGTTTACCAATTTTACATGCATTCCCTTATTTTCCCTTATTTTTTTTTACAAATCACTTATAATTTACAATCAGTACTGAGAATGGTAAATATTAAAATTATTGCCACAGAACAATACTTGGCAGCAATGTTTGTAAAGCGCTTCGAGATATTATCCTCCATGAATGGATCTATATAAATGCAAGTAGTTGTTATTGTTGATGTGGTGCTTGATTGCATGCAATATAAGCAAAGGCATTTAAGAAGCGACAACATCAATGCTTGTGTTGCAAGCGATACTTTTCTAATGGCCAATATTTTTCATTGAAACCTATTTGAAACAGCAGTGATTCCTCTTTATATCAACCATCATTCCAGACATAAGCTTGAAAGGGAAGGAAAATCTTTGGCGAGTATTTTCTATGGAAAGTACTCCCCCTAGCTATAGACGAAGAAAATAATGCTATTACAAATGTGTATTGTACTATGTGTGAGGACATTTTTCGATTCCCGAAAACTGGTTTGGAAATTGGTTCATAGGAGATTTCTATTTGTCTTAACTGCAGTGTACACTCTCCCTAGAGGAATGCACAGTGCTTACGTAATTCTTGAAAGTATTAGGCACAAGTTGAGAAGAGCCAAAGCTTGGGGATGTCAGAGTATGTGTTGGGATGCCGCTAACCAGCTAAAGACACATAGCTTGCCATTATAAATATTGCCTGACAAGCTTCCCACTGACTTGACCAGATACGTCCTCCCTACCCATTAATTGAGGCTTTGGCTTGCAGAGCAAAGAGGAGTAGAGTGGGCAGAATCCCTGCCCCTAGTAACTGTTCTGCCACTCCCAATTCCTGCTGGTGAGCCAGGTGGCTGGTCTGCTCTGCATTAGAGAACAGACCTGTCTAACTCAGAAACTGGACTGCCAAGACTGTCACAGAGTGTCAACTTGATTCTGATATTTCATTGCCAAGCAAATCATCCTAGAGCCAGCTCAGTCCTAAGAAGACTTTGGCTAGCTTGCCCCCTCCCCAAGGAGTCAATAGTTGATTAGGTTTGAGCCTCACCACAATGATCACAGGGACTAGGAGTTCCTTTCATCCCTCTTAGTGAGCAGAACAACTCAGCATAACATGAGTGAGAGTATTATCACAATCCTGCTATCCACAGCTTGGACACGCATCTCTTCCCAATTGAATAGTGGTTCCACTAGTTGGAAATATGGAGCTTCAATGGTTGCTGTTTATCTCTGTGTACAATTCAAGGTAGATACCAAGCCCTTCTTAGCTTTGGACCAGTTTGTAAGTCAATCATGAGCTGCCTGTTTCTGAGGAAGTATATCTATGGCTGGGTGTTGCCAAGCAATTGAGGAAGCAAGTGCCAAATATCCAAGAAACACAGTGTTTTATTGTAGATCTGTTACTATATGTATTCGAAACACACTGGTGATGTCAGTAAAGATACACATTGGAAACTTGTGTAGTTCGATTCCAGAGGATGAACTTCCAGCAACAAAAGTGCTGATTGGGGTAGTTGAACGGCTAAACAACCCATTACCTGAGAAATTCACATCAGGGCCGTAAAATGCTGTGTGGCTGTAGATTGCTGTCCTCGGAGGACAGTGAAAAGGAAAATGCAGATGAGAGTGTGTCATAGAAACAGTGAGTCCTACCACGTGTGCAGACAGAGGGAATACAGCAGACACCCAGGCGATTTTCTTTCTCTCCCCAACACTGCAATGATATGAATAAAGGACATTGTAGTGCTTAATATATAATGTAATCCTTGCATTTGATATAATAATAATCCTTGCATTTGATATAACGCTTTTCAAGTCTTCTCGACATCTCAAAGCGCTTCACAGAATATGCTGTAAAGTGAATTAACTGTATATTTGTGGGTGAAACACAGCAGCAGCGCACAGCAGTGTCCCACAAACAGTCGTGGATTGAAAATTACCAATTTATTATTGCTTTTTGTTTTGGAGGGATTATTATTAGGTGTGTGGAGTAAGGTAACTTGCCCAAGGTTTCGCCCTGCCTGGAATTGAACCCAGGTGTCTCGCTTGCAAGGTGAGTGTTCTAACCACTGAGCTACAGGACTCCACAAGCGCCTTATCACATCTTCGAGACGTCTCAAAGCACTTTGAGATATCCCAAAGCAGCCAATTGCGCCCAGCAGTGTCCCACAAACAGTTGTGGATTAATACTGCTGGCCACCAATAAAGTCAAACATCCAGCGGTGGAAAAGAAACTTAAGATATGCCGACTGAAGATATGCAACTGTGGGACAATTAAAGTAAATGGGAGATATAAACATGGAAAAACCCATCCCTTGATTTTCTGTGTAAACCTCGGAACAGTTGTTTACATCACTTAGACTGAAAGAATACATTCTTATCTTGAAGGTAAAATATTCTTTACATAAATAAATGTAAGCTCACTTATTTCGCTCATCCCCTCCCACTAACTGCCATGCCCCAAAGAATTGTTTTGCTCATTGCATCTAAAGTGGAGTCCTGTAGCTCAGTGGTTGAGCACTCGCTTTGCAAGCTAGAGACCTGAGTTCAATTCCAGGCAGGGCGAAACCTTGGGCAAGTTTCCTTACTCCACACGCCTAATAATAATCCTCCAAAACCAAAAACAATAATAAATTGGTCATTTTCAATCCACGACTGTTTGTGGGACATTGCTGTGCGCAATTGGCTGCCGCGTTCGCCCACAAATATACAGTCAATTCACTTTACAGTGTGTTCTGTGAAGCGCTTTGGGACGTCCTCCCGACGTGAAAAGCGCTATATCAAATGCAAGGATTATTATTATTATTATTATTAAAGAGTTTCGCCCACAAAATACACAGTCCCTTTACAGTATATCCTGTAAAGCATTTTGAGACATCCTGATGATGGGATAAGATGATATATCAAGTGCAAGGATTATTATTATTGAAGGTCTATCAATCTATCCAGGTTGATTAAAGCATTGTGGAGAAGAAATTACACCTGCATCCGGAATTTGATCAATTCTTAAATACAGCCTTGATTTCGAAGCCCATTTTCTGCAAGTTTCTTTTAAGAAAAATAGTTTCAGAGTTAAGACTGAATTCTGCAATTACCATTTTTAGATTTTTGAAATGCTACATAAGTTTAAAAATCTAGACCCAGGGGCTGGTTTGGCTGGTTGGTTAAGACAGGAGTAAACCGAGAATGCTAAGTAAGAAATTGAACATTCAGCCTTCATGCTGTAAAAGCCTCTCCTGCTCAGGTATGACAAGGGTTTGTTGGACAGGGCTCATAGTGTGATGTATCACCTCCTGTGATCAGAGGAAAGCAGTGTGATCATTAAAGGACAGCTGCCATGCTTGCTGCTGCTGGCGTCTCTGACTCAATTAAATGTACCTGTGTGTTTTGAAGTATAACAACAACAAGAACAAGATTACATTTGTATAGCGCCTTTCATGTTGGGAGGACGTCGCAAGGCGCTGGACAGTGTACAGCAATTCAGACCCGAGCTGGGGTCAGGGCAGGAGAATGGAGGGGAAGGGGGTGGCCGCTGGCATGCTCAAAGAGGAGGGTTTTGAGGTGGGACTTGAAGGAGGCTAAGAGGGGGTGAGGCAGAGTGATTGTGGGATGGAATTCTAGAAGTTGGGGGCAGAGTGGCTGAAGGCTCTCCCGCCAATGGTGGGGTTTGTGGGTCGGGGGACATGGAGCAGGGCAGAGCCGGCTGAGTGGAGGGTATGGACGGGTTGGTAGGGGGTTAAAGGTCACAGAAGTAGGGTGGGGCGAGGCCATGGAGGGCTTTGTAGGCGAGGACCAGGATCTTGAATTAGATCCCCTGAAGGATAAGGAACCAATGGAGTCGGGCGAGAATGGGGGAGACGGGGTCATGGAGTTTGGTGCGGGAGAGGACACGGGCTGCTGAGTTCTGGATTATCTGTAGCCTGTGGAGGGAAGAGTTGGGAAGGCCGACAAGCAGGGCATTTGATAGTCGAGCCTGGAGGTGATGAAGGCATGAACAAGAGTTTCAGCGCCCTGAGGGGTAAATAAAGCATTAGTCACCCTGTTCTATAGCATACTGCAACCTAACTGTGTCTCAATATCCCGTTCTGTAGTTCCCATGAGCAACACCAGCAGGCTGCGGCCTGCTCCACAAACCCGCCCAGCCCGCCTCACCATCGACGGTCAGACTTTCAGCCTCTCTGCCCCCACCCCTTGGAACTGTTCAGTGCTTTGGGACATCCTCCCGACATGCAAAGCACTGCACAAATGTAATTTTGTATTGTACTGTTTAATGGAATCTATCCTTTGTAATATGGTCTTACTGGCTTCAGGTTTCTCCAATTATTACAGTGTTGGTAACTCTGTCTTTCAGTCGATACCCAACACAATGTTATAAAAGCATCTAGTGTATCCAATTTAATGTATTTGAAAGTGAGTCAGTGGATTGAATGTCCTTCTCCTGTTCCTGATTTCCTTTGTGCTGTGTTTGGTGAGGGTGCAGCACTATGCTAAAGCAATGGCAAGATATTAGCCTCATGTACTCTCCTTCTCCCATCCCATGATATGTCCCTCTCACTGCAGAGTCTGTCAAAACCACCCAGACAGAGCAATGGCACACGCCGTTGAATTGAATCTAAGATGGAAAAAGAGTGCAGCCGATGTTCCAGTAATCCACACTGATGCAGTACGAAAACAAGAAAATAACTTATATTTTTATATAACAACAATAGGTTGCATTTATATAGCGCTCTTCACACAGGGTAGAGTGTCAGAGTGCTTGAACTTTTTTTGTCAAAAGGGTCTCAATACACTTCACAGAGTAATTACCGTCGTGTTTTGATTATTCTTTTGTAGGTAAACATGATACACAGTATACTTCATAAGGAAATGCACTTACACTTTTTCAATTGTGCTTCTAGATATGCGAAATCCAGTCAGATCAAGACTGTCTCCAGCAGCAACATCTTTTTTAAAGGCAAGAGGTTTCGTTTCAGGTGAGTTTTTCCCTTCATTACAAAAGCAGCTTTAATAAACTTCTTACTTGATTTAATTGTATTTTTCCCCAAGAAACCTAAATCGCTGGATCAAGTAGCAAGATCAGTGTATAAGGCAAATATGGCTTGCAAGCCAGCCAGTCAGAGAAATTGCACACTTCTAAACCCTTCAATATCCTTTCCAGTTAAATATTATCATGTGAGAGCACTTCAGTCAGTGTCTCAGATGTAAAGAGATTACACTCACTAAACACTCACCACAAGTAAAGCCTGTTTACGCCAAACGTATATTGTTTTCTCCAATTCGAAGTTCAGTGCACGCCATATACCATATATTTACTTATAATGCAAATTCACTTGTAACAGGGTTGCACAGTGGAGCCCGTTCACTGCAAGCTGACCATAGTCATTGATTTTTCAGCTCATTAAAGGTGTAAAATAATTTGACCTTAGCAAGCTTGCGAAGGGCGTTTTCCAACCTTTACTATACCGCAGATCACATGGTAAGGAAATGGTGGACTTGGTAAACATGATATATCACTGTTCAAGATTCTGCCCTTGCCACCCAGCAAATGCAGAATTTAAAGTCTTCATAAAATATATAATGGAAATCATTTACACCAGAAGGATTCAGAAGCAATGCTAGTGATGTGAGAAAAGTGCTAGTCGCAGTGTAGTAATAAGAAACGTAAGAAGCTCATTTCCAAATGGTATTTTTTTGAAGGAAACAGAACAAAGAAAAGAGTGAAACTATTACTTTACCTCAGTCTAAATCATTTCTTGTTCTCACAATGCTTTCCTCAACTTTATATAAAAGCTTTTGTTAGCCAGGGAAGGGGGATGAGGAGGGTTGGAGGGGGGAGCTGAATCCATTTCCCTACAGTGAATCTTGTTTTCTGTTGACGTATCCATTGTTCCTCTCTCTTTCTTTCTTTTACTCCTGACAGCAGCATGATTTTCATTTCAGCATCTTTGTTTTCTTGAGAGCAAAACATCACGCAACCCCTATAGTGCTTGATTAATATTTTATTTGGATAGCATTATTTAAATTGCATGTGAAACAACAACAACAACAACAAGATTCCATTTATTGAGCGCCTTTCATGTCGGGAGGACGTCCCAAGGCGCTGTACAGTTGGGTCAGGACCCGAGCAGGGGGGAAATGGTCAGGGTGATGGGAGGGAAGGGAGGGAGCGAGGAGGGGGTAGAGAGTCGAGAGGGGAGCTGAAGGCACGGTCAAAGAGAAAGGTCTTGAGACCGGCCTTGAAGGAGGAAAAGGAGGAGGCGGCGAAGGCACTGGGGGATAGAGTTCCAGAGCCTCGGGGCTGAGAGGCTGAAGGCCCGCCCACCGATGGTAGGACGGTTGGGGCGGGGGATGTGCAGTAGACCGGAGCCAGAGGAACGGAGGGTACGGGCAGGTAGGTAGGGGGATAGTAGGTCGGAGAGGTAGGAGGGAGCAAGGCCGTGAATGGCCTTGTAGGTGAGGATGAGGATCCTGATCCTCTGGGGGATGGGGAGCCAGTGGAGGTGAGCGAGGGTGGGAGTGATGTGGTCCTGGTGCGCGACAGTACACGAGCTGCAGAGTTCTGAATGACCTGCAGCTTGTGGAGGGAGGTGCCAGGAAGGCCGGCGAGGAGAGAGTTCCCATAGTCCAGCCTTGAGGTGATAAAGGCGTGGACCAGAGTTTCAGCAGCGTGAGGGGTGAGGTAGTGCCGTAGTCTGGTGACATTCCGGAGGTGATGGAAGGCGGTGCCAGTTGTGGCGCGGATATGAGGGAGAAAGGACAGCTCAGGGTCGAACAGAACACAGAGGTTCCTGACTGCTTTGAGAGGTGGAGAGTGCAGCCTTGGATGCTGATGCTGACGTGAGCCAATCAGGAGGGCCTCAGTTTTACGCACGTTGAGCTGAAGAAAGTTATCAGGACTCGATGTCGGACAGGCAGCTGTCAGGACATCGGTGGTCATGGAGTTGAGGGTAGAGGAGGAAAGATAGAGTTGGGTGTCATCCGCATACATGTGGAAGTTAACCCCATGTCTGCGGATGATGTCACCAAGGGGGAGCATATAGAGGGTGAAGAGGAGGGGACCGAGGACAGAGCCCTGAGGGACACCGCACGAGACAGTGCGGGGGCTGGAGGAAAAGCCGTTAGTAGAAAGACGGTGGGAGAGGTACGACCTAAACCACTCAAGGACAGGGCCTTGAAGGTTTAGTTGGGGGGGGAAAAGCGGTGGAGGAGGATAGCATGGTCGACCGTATCGAATGCTGCCGATAGGTCGAGGAGGACGAGGAGGCAGAGGGAGCCCTGGTCACAGATGATCAGGAAGTCATTGGTGACCTTGACCAGGGCAGTTTCTGTGCTATGGGCAGCACGGAAACCCGACTGAAGCGGTTCGAATAGTGAATAGTTGGAGAGGAAAGAGCGCAGCTGGGAGGCGACAACTCTTTCCAGGACCTTGGACAGGAAGGGGAGGTTGGAGGTGGGCCGGTAGCTTGATAGCTGCGACGCATCAAGGGAGGGTTTTTTCAAGGTGGGAGTGATGGTGGCAGTTTTTAAGGGAATGGGAACAGAAAGGATGCTACACTAATCTGGGCAAATAAATTCAGCACTTGAGCATATCTAAAATGAGTACCAATAATACACAATGACTGATGCTTAGAAATTTACAAACATGCAAAGGCGAGAGATTGTCCCAGTCAGTTTGGCTCAGCACTACATTGTGCAATACCTTTACTTACAGGGTGTCATTTATTTGTTATTACACATTGCAATTATTTTCAGTTTGCACATGGTAAATGGTTATTGCAAATGACAGCCCTAAAGTGGTACTGAGCCATACAGACTAGTTAAGGCCCAGATTTATTCCCTCACTATCCTCCACCTTTCTTGATGCCAATCCGCAGCTCAGGTGCAAATCAGCACCTTGGGACATCCTTCCAATAACAGGCCATATATAAATGTAACTTGTTGTTGGTCTGTCTGTGCTCAGTCAGTTTGATCTCACATAGGGTGACTCTGAAAAGTTGCTATTGGTCAAAGTAAGCTATTTAATGGGTTATCTAGGTTTCAAGTTATCTTAATTGACTTAAGTTACATTATTAAAATATTAATAACAATAATAATAATAATATTCCTTGCATTTGATATAGCGCTTTTCACGTCAGGAGGACGTCCCAAAGCGCTTCACAGAATATACTGTAAAGTGAATTGACTGTATATTTGTGGGTGAACGCGGCAGCCAATTGCGCACAGCAATGTCCCACAGACAGTCGCGGATTGAAAATGACCAATTTATTATTGTTTTGTTTTTTTGGAGGGATTATTATTAGGCGTGTGGAGTAAGGAAACTTTCCCAAGGTTTCGCCCGGCCTGGAATTGAACTCAGGTCTCTCACTTGCAAAGTGAGTGCTCTAACCACTGAGCTACAGGACTCCACATAATCAAGCACTATAGCCATGTTTCGAACACAGTGTGCACTCTATCTTCAAAAGGATATTGAACAAGAATAATCCTATGATTTAAAGCTCTGGGTTATTACAATGCTGAATCTCACAAAGTAGAACCTGTTCTTGTTAGAAAACGAGTGTCTTCTTCCCCTCCCCCGAAGAGCCATACCTTGGACCTGGGACAACTGGAGACGCAGTAAAACCAGATTTCTGGTGCTCATTTGATAATTACGTGTGATAGAAAGTGGTCAACTTCCAGAGCGCCAGGTTACCACTTTTTGCACATGATATTCCTCCCGACGTGAAAAGTGCTGTACAAATGCAATTTGAATGTTGCTGATGTTATTTCTTATGAGCAGGCAGCAATACTGATGACACTTCATGAAGCAGATGTTTTATGCATGTAGTGAGCATGCCCAGCACTTAGGAAGTAACATCAGCAATAACTTTATGGCCCAGAAGTTGGTTATTCCTTTTGCCCTTTGGATTGGACCCAGATGATCGCGTTCTAATGAGATTTTCCTGTTTTGACTGTTTGCATCCATTCACACGTAGCAAGATACAGACCAAAGCTGGTACACTACATGTTTTAGTTCCTCAAATTTAAAGGCGTTAAACGTATGGTGTTATTTTCAAAAAAAGGAAAAATTGTCATTTAATAACTCTGATTAAAAAAACAAACTGCATCTTGTTGGTTGTAGTGGAAGAGTTGCCAAAGAAGTCATTGAGGCAAGTTCCAATATTCAGCGCAGCCCTCCCGAAGTCCACAGGTAAAGTACAAATAGATGTGGTCATGCAAAGGGCCCCACCTTTTCTCCAGCAATCCTGGTTAGTAAACACTGAGTGACATTAGAAACAAAATGTCTGACTTGTTCACATTTACTACTGATACTAGAATATAAGACGTTTTTTTCTGAGGGGGAAGAGGGTTGGGGCTATGCACACAAGGTAGTGTATCATCAAATCAGAGAGAGCAGGAAAGTGTGAGCAATATTTGATCATGCTCTGTGCTCTGAGCTGAGTAAACTGATGGCAGTATGGTCAGTTATGAGTGCTGGTAGATTAGCCTGTTCAGGGGGACGTTAAAGATCCCATGGCACTATGATCCCAATATCCTGGATAACAAGAGCCATTCTTACCTACACATCCCTATGTGTCCTGAGCTGCCCGATCTCTGTAACATTCTCCAGCCTCACTCTCCTGCTTGCCGTCTCTGTAAAGCAAACCTGGGTCTGGGTGCATTCCTCACCCACTTTGGCCCACTCAGGGTATCCAATCCTTCAAACACTATGCCCATAATTCTGGAAGCCCTTCCTTAAATCCCTCCACCTTGCCCTTCTAAATCTGTCTTTAAAAGCCTCCTGTAAACCTATCTCTTTGACTGTGCTCCTGTCACCTCCTCCTTCTCCTGCCCTTTGTGCTTGGTGTCTTGCACCATCTCTGAAAAGTTGTTACCCTATGTAAAAGGTGCTATATAAATGAAAATTGTTATTATCGTGTTGTAAGATTTGTGACAACGCAATACTTATTAGACTGTAATCTTTTCCAGATGCACACTAGCACAGAGCCGAAGTTCGTATTCTTTATGCAGGCAGCTGATAACTGATGTTGAGAATCTGGATTCGCAACTCCCTTCCCCCAGCGATTCTCAAGAACATTCTGGTGTGGATGGTGAGAGCTCAGTTACATTTACACACAACCAGTCTGCTGTCCAGTAGGGAGTAGAGAAGAGATGAAAGAGATGGCTGCACTTTCATTGTCTTAACGTCCTCTGATGCATAACCAAACGGTATTTGAACTTACATCATGCTTATGAGCTGGAGGCTTTACAGTCGGTGTAGTTGTGGTAATGTTGTGCGACTGGCTATGCAGTAAAATTAAAAAAATTTAACCAGTGTTCAGAAATGATCAATAGAGTTCTAGATACAATAATAATCCTTGCATTTGATATAGAGCCTTATTTGATTTCAAGATCCTCATCCTCACCCACAAGGCCATTCACGGCCTTGCTCCCTCCTACCTCTCCAACCTACTATCCCCCTACCTACCTGCCCGTACCCTCCGTTCCTCCGGCTCCGGTCTGCTCCACGTCCCCCGCCCCAATCGCCCTACCATCGGTGGTCGGGCCTTCAGCCTCTCAGCCCCGAGGCTCTGGAACTCTATCCCCCAGTGCCTTCGCCTTGCTTCCTCCCTCTCCTCCTTCAAGGCCGGTCTCAAAACCTTTCTCTTTGACCGAGCCTTCAGCTCCCTCTCGACTCTCTTCCCCCTCCTCGCTCCCTCCCTTCCCTCCCCTCACCCTGACCATTTCCCCCCTCCTCGCTCCCTCCCTTCCCTCCCCTCACCCTGACCATTTCCCCCCTCCTCGCTCCCTCCCTTCCCTCCCCTCACCCTGACCATTTCCCCCCTCCTCGCTCCCTCCCTTCCCTCCCCTCACCCTGACCATTTCCCCCTGCTCAGGTCATGACCCAACTGTGCAGCGCCTTGGGACGTCCTCCTGACATGAAAGGCGCTTTATAAATGGAATCTTGTTGTTGTTGTTGTTGTCATGCCTTCTAGATGTCTAAAAGCGGTTCACAGAATATACTGTAAAGTGAATTGACTGTATATTTTGTGGGTGAAACTCAGTCACCAATTGCACACAGCAGTGTCTCACAAACAGTTGTGGATTGAAGTGAGCAATGTATTTTTTTTTGTTGAAGGAATTATTACCCCCGGAAACACGATCCGCTAATTGACTAACTGGGTTCCTACTTACTGCATAGATAAACAGAGGCATGAGGAGTAAGGAAACTTGCCCAACGTTTCGCCCTGACGTGAATCAAACTCAGGTCTCTCACTTGCGAGGAAGTGCTCTTATCACTGAGCTACGGGACTCCACATATGCTTAATATATGCTCCACATATGCTTAAATCCCTGGGAATTAGAGCAGGAATGCCCTGCTTTTAATCTCTCAGTTGCTGAAAGGCACTTCAACTTTCTTCCAGCAGAAAAATGGTGCATTAAGGCAACAGTGGATGTTGTCGGTAAGAAACTGTGCCTGTTTGTTTCTGCCCTGTGCATGTGCAGCGCCATTTCTGTGACCTACACCAAAGATTTGCTTGTATGTTGACGTTCCCTGAAGTGAGCCAGTTCACGATTGACTGAAGCACAATTTGAGTGAACTGAGGTGGATAAAATACATGAAAATGCACCAGAGCTGTCCAATCCATTTACCCTCTCAGATATGACAAGGCAGAAGTAAGGAAATGGAAAGCTGGGAGATGAGCCAAATGAATCAGGAAATAGGGCCATGGAAAGAATGAGCAGAATAATTGACTTCAATGAGTGCTTAGTCAAATGGTGTGTACAGGAGGGAATGGAAGTTGTTGATAACTGGGGTGATGTTTTCAGGCAGAAGGTACCACTTCAGGAATGATGAACTGCACATAAGTAGATGAGGAACTAAGCTGCAGGCGAAGAACATAAATATGATGTTTGTGATTCATTTAAACTAGATTTGGAGGGCAGGCAGGAATGCTGTGGTAGATAAGAATGAGCTGAGGACCATGGACGATCAGTGGTTAATGGGTGAAGGGGAAAAGAAAATGAAATATAAAGATTAACCAAGAAAAGGAACATGTTGCAGCATAAGCTCAGATGTTTTCAAAGTAATTTTACGTCGAGTGCAATATCATTTATACTTTGGGCTGACAGGGCTCCAAAACACAACAGGAGTTTCTGTTGCACACTGTTTAGAACTTGCCCAGGACAGCCCTGCCCACCAACAGTGTGGGAGCAGTGTTTTATCAGACTCAAATATAAGTCAACATCTGTTTTAAGAAGAGCTAAAATGCTGCTCTCACACTGGGAATAGAGATGCTTTCTGCTTCTCACTGCCTAGAAGCCAGGATGTTGATATTGCATCTTCACAGGCTCTGGCTAAAACCATTCTCCCACAGTAAGTGATGGGAGTCTCAGAAGCATTCACTTCACACAAACATAAGATTCTTAAAGGGCTGGATAAAGTAGACACTGAGGGTCTGTTTCCACTGGTAGGAGAATCTATAACCAGGGGTCACAGTCTTAAAATTAAGGGTCAGCCTTTTAGAACAGAGTTGAGGAAACATTTCTTCACTCAGAGGGTAGTGAATTTATGGAGCTTGAACCCAGAGGCGAGAATGCTACCACTGCACCAGGTTGACCTAAAAGGAGCACTAGGAAGGAAGTATTGGAATTCGAGCAGAAGGAGCCTGTGAAAACATAACTGTTATAAGAGATGTGGCTGAGAGTGAACTGTGGTCATTCAAAAGAAAAACTAACAAGAGAATACTAAATGTTTTGCAAGGAGAGGCCTGTGAAGCTGGTTGGAGGAGTGTCGTTAATGCCAATGGAGGACATAGCTGCAGTTGAGAGGGGAAATTTAACAGCTAAAGCAGGTGGCAATTGCAATCTGGGTATAAAATGTGTGAGTGTGGGGCACGGGGTGGGGGAGGCGGGATTTGTGATGTGATAATTAGCACATGGCAGATAATGTGGTAGGGAGCATCTGTCCTCAACTGATGATGGGCAGAGCAGGACTATAACTGGTGGATTTTAAGCGACACAGAAATTGCCGTAGTGTTTAGGAATTCTGTTGACCAAAAATAACAACAGTTCTTACGTTTGATACAGACGTCTCAAAGTACTTCACAGGATAAATTGCAAACTGAAGTGAATGTGGGCGAAACAAGGCACACAGCAATGTCCCACAAACAGAGGGGCCAATTTTATTTGGGGGATTGTTGGCTAATACTCCCTTCTCTTTTTGAATAGAGCCATAGGATCTTTAACGTCCACTGAACAGGCAGATGGGAACTCGGTTTAACATCTCATCTGAAGGACAGCAAATATAAATTGTATTTATATTCATACTCTGTATGAAATAAATAGATATAAAGGGCCAACAGAAACCACATTGTCAAATGCTGAGGATATTAACCATGTGACATCCACCCCCAAAATATAACAGGCGCTTGCAGAGGCTTTACTCTGAATCAGGACCTACAGCTAATGCTTCTCCAGCAATCCCCCTTCCCGCAGACTTGAATATGCAAACTGCGAGTCACAGGATATATACATTTCTCTGAGGGAAATGGAGTGGAGGATCAGCCTGTAAGCAACATCAAAATAGTAAATGACATCATGGAAACTATGCAGCTGTCCTGAATTAAACTGGTCTACTTTGATTTCACATTGAGCATCGGAGAGGCGATTGTGATACATAACAAGTTGCTTCCTGCTCAGCAAGTCGGGGACAGGAACAGAAAAGTCTCACTGTTTTGCACAATTGGCTGCCGCGTTTTGCCCACAAAATATACAGACAATTTACTTTTACAGTATATTCTGTGAAGTGCTTTGAGACATCTGAAAGACGTGATAAGGCACTATATCAAATGCAAGGATTATTATTAGTATCAGAAGTGATAGTTGCCCATTGAATACATTTTATCACAATGCCTACACAGATAAAACTATCCCTTTAGTTTCAGAAATGAATACAAAAATTTAAACAAAAACTTCATGCTACTATATATGATACATATTAGTTATTAATAGGTGTGTGACTTATCACTTTTGCTACTGTATAACAACCTGTTTCAACTCAAATTGGATCATTGTTAACATTGTGCATTTCACTTAATTTAAAGGCCTAAGATGGGTAATTTGGAGTTGAAGTACAGATCAGTCATGATTTAATATAATGGCAGAATAGGCTCGAGGGGCCTAATGGCCCAGTTCTGTTCCTATGTTCCTAATAATAATAGCCCTTACATTTGATCTAGAGCCTTATCGTGTCTTCGGGACGTCTCAAAGAGCTTCACACAATATACTGCAGTAAATTTTGTGGAGTTTTATGGAGTAAGGAAACTTGACTTACTTTACTCCACAAAAGGAATAGTGAAGGTTTGCCTAACTTTAGTAGAAAAAGAGCATTAGTTTTGCTACAATGCCATCACAGGCATCTAACTTCATGATGTGTTTCTAAGTGATTTATGATATTGCATTGTGCGCACAGTAATAAGAGAAGATACCAAATGCTTTTCTGTGAAGACAACAAATTCCTTTGGTCTACAGAATGCTGCTCTGACACAATTCTTCATTGCCTGTATAAGCTTAAGTAGAAGGTTATAAAAAGGATTAAAGATTGGTTACAGTGACTGGATTAAATAAAATAAACGTCAGTAATGTTCTTTTGCTAATAATTGCAGTCATTCTTCCGTTGAACCTTTGTGAATTGGATGGTTACCATGAAGAGTACATTAGATTGCTCAGTGTTGTATTTCCCTTCTGAGAGGATTTTGTCACTAACTGTGCTGTGACAGGAGGAATACCTTGTCCCTGAATCTGGAATGTAATTACATGTTTTAAAAATCTTTGAATATACAAGATATATAAATGTTATAAATATATAAATATACATATATATAAATGTTTGCTGCTGCTGTATCACATTCCTTCTCCCTGCTGCCTTACTTTACAACAATAACAACAACAAGATTCCATTTATTGAGCGCCTTTCACGTCGGGAGGACGTCCCAAGGCGCTGTACAGTTGGGTCAGGACCCGAGCAGGGGGAAATGGTCAGGGTGAGGGGAGGGAAGGGAGGGAGCGAGGAGGGGGTAGAGAGTCGAGAGGGGAGCTGAAGGCACGG